TCTATCTATCTATCTATCTATCTATCTATCTATCTATCTATCTATCTATCTATCTATCTATCTATCTATCTATCTATCTATCTATCTATCTATCTGTCTGTAAAAGGAAACCAGGTCTCCAAAGAACACAGTGGATGGATATCATCAAAGCTGACGCCAGCCAGAGCATAGAACAACTCAAAGAAGCAGTGCAAAATTGGAACTTTTGGAGAGACCTGGTCCATGGGATCACCAAGAGCAGGGCATCATTGAATGGATATCAACACCATCCCCATCATCCTCATCTCCCTGGGGACACTCTTGGGAGAAGACACATGGGTTTCCTTACCTAGGAGGGAGGACCACTGCGCTGGGGGTCTATAGAGTGGATACTGCTTTGGGAAAGCTGTTTGGCTCCATTTTCCCGTGAACACAATGCTGTAGGTGGCTGGGTCCTCTGCACCACACAGGATATCTCCCTCAAGGGGGACACAATCCACACAACTCAAGAGTACTACGAGCAGCGCTGTGATTGTCTTCTCAGAACCAGACATATCTTGTGAGCTTCTCATATCCTTGCCCGTGGGAGTTAAAATAGAAAAAGCCACAATTAGTGGATTCCACAAGTAAATGCTGCATCTCTACCTCTATCCATGAAATCAACAGAGATCACTGGCGACTCAGAAGATTTGTTTTTAAATCCAGGCAAAGAAAAAAAATGTTACTTTCATTATTTAACAGAGTTGCAGAATAACAGAGTCGGAAGGGACCTCAGAGGTCTTCTAGTCCAACCCCCTGCTCAAGCAGGAGACCCTAGACCATTTCAGACAAATGGCTTCCAATCTCTTCCTAAACGCCTCCAGTGTTGGAGCACCCACAACTTCTGGAGGCAAGTTGTTCCACTGAATATTTGTTCTAACTGTCAGGAATAACAGAAAAACAAAGCTGGAAGGGACCTCAGAGGTCTTCTAGTCCAACCCCCTGCTCAAGCAGGAGATCCTCTATTATTTCAGACAAGTGGCCATCCAGTCTCTTCTTAAAAACATTCAATGTTGGAGCATCCACAACTTTTGGAGTAAAACTTTCCCACTGGTTAATTGTCCTCACTGTTAGGAAGTTTCTCCTTAGTTCTGCTTCTGTCCTCAATTATTATAATAATTTGACAATAGGCTTTTAGCAGGCTAACTTGATTTGTTATCTCATTAGAATCATAAATGTGGTTTAATTCTGCTCACCGCTGTTTTTAGTGCAAATAGGTGGGAGAATACATAGCTGCGCCCTTTTTAATTTTCTGTCTAAGAGATATTTGTTTAAAAATAAGGTAGAGAAACACGGAATGCCAATAATAATAATAATAATAATAATAATAATAATAATAATAATAATAATAATAATAATAATAATAATAATAATAATAATAATAAAGTTGGAAGGGACCCTGGAGGTCTTCTAGTCCAACCCCCTGCTCGGGCAGGAACCCTACACCATTTCAGACAAATGGCTGTCCAGTCTCTTCTTAAAAACATCCAGTGTTGGAGCATTCAGCGCTTCTGGAGGCAGGTAGTTCCGCTGGTTAATTGTCCTCACTGTCAGGAAATTTCTCCTTAGTTCTAGGTTGCTTTTCTCCTTGATTAGTTTACATCTGTTGCTTCTTTTCTTGCCTTCAGGTGCTTTGGAGAATAGCTTGACTGCCTCTTCTTTGGGGCAGCCCCTGAGATACTGGAACCCTGCTATCCTGTCCCCCCTCGTCCTTCTCTTCATTAAACTAGACATACCCAATTCCAGCAACCGTTCCTTATATGTTTTAGCCTCCATTTCACCTTGAATTCATTACCTAAATATTTTTAGAAAACCCCAGAATTAAATAAAGGCAAAGAAACCCGCAAGGCTAAGATAAAAGACTAAAATTTAACCTTCCTTTAAGAAGTTCTTCTGCTTTAAGAGCAGGGTCGCAAATACACAACTGCTCAGTCGCCCTGCGTTAATCATGAATACAGACAATTTTCACTTACGAGTGTTCCTGTGGCTCTGAGATTGTTAGGAGAACTTGCTTTGTCTCCCCAGCTGGAAAATCTGCAAGGAGAAGAGCAGAAATCTTGCTATTTATGCTTGCAAAAAGTCCCTCCAGTCCAGCCACGGCAGTTTTTTCTTCTTCTTTTTTTTTTTTAACTCCCTGAACACATTTGTGCTGCTGGAAACATCTGCATGGTCTGTGACAGTGAGTTGTGGGCCAGCTGTGGGGGAAAAAAAACCCTGTAAGAACGAACTACATCTCAACTTTTGCTAAGCTACAAGTTTGCCCACCCCCCCCTCCCTCCCTCCTTCAAGGCTTTTGATTGATGGCATTTCTCCAGGCTGGCCTTGGTGCCCATCACTGGCAGAGAAGCTGCTTCTGGTACACAACCTTTCTTGTCGAAGAGCTCCGTGTGCGGGTCCTTCTTATGTTTTAGGGGTTCGAGAGATGCCTCTCCAGAAAGCTTATCAAGATCCCTCCCTCGGATGGATCGGAGAGCTGATCCCTGAGTTAGGAATTGGAGGCCCCCAGGGAAATTGGAGAGGGGGGGGTTGGAAAAAGCTGCAATGTATATGTCATTTCATTCCTGAGAAGTATCTGGGGGAAGGGCGGAAAGCATGGAGGAAACATTGTGTGTGTGTGTGTGTGTGTGGAACTCTGAGGCTTTGATGTTATTCTTGATGTTAGTTAAATTCAGTTTGACTTATATAATAGAATATAGAATGGAAAAGAATGGAATATGGAATATGGAATATGGAATATAAACTAGACTAGACTAGACTAGACTAGACTAGAATAGAATAGAATAGAATAGAATAGAATAGAATAGAATAGAATGTAGAATAGAATTACAGAATAGAATAGAATAGAATAGAATAGAATAGAATAGAATAGAATAGAATAGAATAGAATAGAACTGGAAGGGACCTTGGAGGTCATCGAGTCCAACCCCCTGCTCAGGCAGGAAACCCTACACCATTTCTGACAGATGGCTGTCCAGTCTCTTCTTAAAAGCCTCCAGTGATGGAGCACCCACAACATCTGGAGGCAGGTTGTTCCACTGGTTAATTGTTCTAACTGTCAGGGAATTTCTCCTTAGTTCCAGGTTGCTTCTCTCCTTGGTTAGTTTCCATCCGTTGCTTCTTGTCCTGCCTTCAGGTGCTTTGGAGAATAGGTTGACCCCAATTCTTCTTTGGGGCAGCCCCTGAGATATTGGAAGACTGCTATCATGTCACCCCTCGTCCTTCTCTTCATTAAACTAGACATACCCAATTCTTGCCACCGTTCTTCATCTGAAATATAGATGAGGGATTGTTCTGTTATTGTGTTAAGAATACAGAGGGAATTCAGAAGACTTTGGTTTAGCAAGCTGTCTGAATGCAGCCAGCCATTTCCAGTAATTATTAATAATAATAATAATAAAGTTGGAAGGGACCTTGGAGGTCATCTAGTCCAACCCGCTGCTCAGGCAGGAAACCCTACACCATTTCGGACAAATAGGCTGTCCAGTCTCTTCTTAAAACTTCCAGTGTTGGAGCATTCACCGCTTCTGGAGGCAGGTTGTTCCACTGGTTAATTGTTCTCACTGTCAGGAAGTTTCTCCTTGGTTCCAGGTTGCTTCTCTCCTTGATGAGTTTCCATCCGTTGCTTCTTCTCCTGCCTTCGGGGGCTTTGGAGGAGAGCTTGACTGCCTCTTCTTTGGGGCAGCCCCTGAGATACAGGAAGACTGCTATCATGTCCCCCCTCGTCCTTCTCTTCGTTAAACTAGACATTCCCAATTCCAGCAACCGTTCCTTATATGTTTTAGCCTCCAGACCCCTGATCATCTTTGTTGCTCTTCTCTACCCTCTTTCTAGAGTCCCAACATCTTTTTTACATCGTGGTGACCAAAATTGGATGCAGTATTCCAAGTGTGGCCTTACCAAGGCCTTGTAAAGTGGGATTAACCCTTCACGTGATGATATTGATTGGTGTTTTGCGTTTGTTTTTTCTCATCACGCCTTACTTTATTGTTTGATTTTTTTTTCTCTTGTGGCTTATGATTGGTTTTATGTTCTAGTGATCCTAAAGATTGGTCACCCTCCCCCCCCTCAGCTTTAGTTTAAGGCCCTTCTGATGAGGGGAGCAGTTGGTTTCTGAGTACATTCTTCCCTGTTCTTGTGAAGGGCAATCCATCCCTTGTTCTAGCGGAGGGTATCACTTTGAGTATAACCAACTGGCACTGCATTTGGATCAGGTGACCACATTTCCAGGAGGGGAATTTGTTTTATCTTTATGGAGTGTTCAGAAAACAAATAGCAGAATGTCTCATATCTCAGGGGCTGCCCCAAAGAAGAGGGAGTCAAGCTATTCTCCAAGGTGCCTGAAGGCAGGACAAGAAGCAACGGATGGAGACTAATCCAGGAGAGAAGCAACCTGGAACTAAGGAGAAACTTCCTGACAGTGAGAACAATTAACCAGTGGAACAACCTGCCTCCAGAAGCGGTGAATGCTCCAACACTGGAAGTTTTTAAGAAGAGACTGGACGGCCATTTGTCCTGAAAGGTGTAGTGTTTCCTGCCTGAGCAGGGGATTGGACTAAATGACCTCCAAGGTCCCTTCCAACTCTGTTATTCTAATTCTAATGTTAAAAGCCCCAAACAATTTATGTTAAGGCAGCCATTTCCAGGATATAACAAAACTAGTATTAACACCAAAGGGTTGAGGGTTGGCTTCAAATGTTCTAAGTTTCATCTCTCTGGGCCAGATATTTAAGTTATGAAGTGGAATATTTTCTTGATAGAAAACAAACAAGAAATGAACATGACTAATCACAATGATGAGTCACTATGGCCTCCGCCAGCATTTTTCAGCTGAAAAGCCCCAGGAAATTGCAAATATGTTTGTGATTAAACATAAAGAGCGATTTCAAGTTTCTGCATTCTTTTCTTTTCATTTCATGAGGTTATCCATGTCTTCGCAATCTTTCACCTACATCTGCTTTGTGCCAACAAGGGCAAAAGTTGGTTCTTCAAGATGTCCTGAAGGAGAAGGACCAAAAGGCAAACTATGAAGAGGAGCATCCATCGGGGGAGGAAGGAATGTCCAAAAAGTGAAGATGGAGGCTACATCATCAAAGGACCATCCATTGTTTGCAGGGGTCATGCATGCCTGCAGTTGCAGTTACCACCTGGACTATTTTTATTATCCGCACCCCACCTGAGGGTGCCTCGTCTTTGAGGGTGCGGTCCACCTTCTCTGAGGATCAT